GATGGTGAAAAGATAAAAGATCACTCCATTAAGCTGGGCATGGTGGCTCACATACCTATAATCCTAGCACTCTGGGAGGTCGAGGCAGGTGGACTGCCTGAGCTCACAGGTTCAAGAAAAGACTAAGCCAGAGCCAGACCCTGTCTCTAAAAACAGCCAGGCATTACAGTAGTGCCTGTGGTCCCAGCTGCAAGGGAGGCTGAGGCAAAAGAATCGCTTGAGCCCAGGAATCTGAGGTTGCTGTGAGCTATGATGCCACAGCACTCTACTGGGGCAACAAAGTGAGAATCTGTTTTAAAAAAAAAATCACCCCATTAGGAGTGATCCTAGCAGATTGGGGAGCACTAACAAGAAGCCTCAAAAGAATGGGAGGGGGAAAAAAAAGAATGGAGGGGAAGAGGGTATCTTGATGAAGAGGCAGAAAGAGTGTATGGAGGCAAGAAAGGGATAGTGGGCTACTCACAGAATAGTACTTCACCATGGCAGGAGCATGGGATTAAGAATGGCAGAAGGCACACTGGGCCCCATGAAGGACTTCTCAGTCACTGCCCAGAAAGTGTGTGTCCCCCTGGCAGGACACAGAGTGCACCTAAGGGCTTTAGAGGAGGGGATATAACTCAAACTGTTTTAGGGGAATTTCTTATATTACAAGGAAAACAAATGTGTTTAGGTAAAAAGACCAGAAATAAAACTATACATGAAAGTAGTCCCCTAATTAAGGAAATAGGAGGATCACAGTGAAAAGATAACCTAAGCACTAACCTGGAGACCAAGAACAAACTTACCATTTTACACTTTCAATATTCTCTCTTATAGGTGTTTGAAAATCAAGAAACAAATTACTGATTTCCAGTTTTATGGATAGATTTGTCTTTATCACTTTACTAGACTGACAGTGGTTCAGACTTAAATTTTGCAAATTCCTTTAGTCTTCTGGGTTGTAATTCATCAAGGCCAAGTGAAAATTCAGTAAAATCTTACATCCACTTAATTATCTTACCATATTGGGTTCGTTTCATTTTTATGAGAGTTTACGAAATATAAGGCAAATCGCTGCTAAGACAAGATAGCACTCATTCCTTGTTCTTGCAGCTTAACTAAAATCAGCAATTTTTCTTTACTACTTTCTAAGAACTTTTTGCTCTTCTAAAATTTAGTCTCCTGACACCTTCTTTTATACTTTGCAGTCTTGTTTCATGTTTACTACTATGTACGTACTCCTTTTCCCCACATTCAATACATTTTTATAAAGTGCTGAGCTTCCTGAAAAAAAAAAAAAAGCAGTATTTAGGTTGAGCCTTGCAGACTAGATAGTATTTCCATAGGAAGATACTGCAGTTGGGTGAGAAGAAACCTAATGGTAACTGAGCACCAGCAACTGCACAGGTACTTATTATTTATTTTATTTATTCCTTAAGTTATAACAATCCTTTGAGGCAGTTTTAGTTTCTGAGTTTTATAAAGTGAAAATACTGTAGGTCAGAAAGGTGAGATAACCTGTAGCTAAAACTACAGGTACCTGCCACAATGCCCAACTAATTTTTCAATTTTTAGTAGAGACAGGATCTCATTCTTGCTCAGGCTTGTCCTGAGCTCAACCAATTCACCTACCTCCACCTCCCAGAGTGCTAGGATTACAGGGATGAGCCACCACACCTGGCCAACATATATAACTCTTAATAAGCATTACTATATTAATGACTTTATAGGGAAGGCTTCAGTAACGGTACATAGAAAACTTCTCATTCAGAAAGCTCATACCCCCAAAATCTGAGATACGGATAGGTTCCCATCTCTGCAACCCTCGAATAACATTAACACAAAGGGTACAATTAACATTCACTTCATACTGAAGATATGTCCGTGTGAATATAAATGACTAAGGTCTGTCTCTATATGTGCAGATTTAAAATGTGGAGCCATACCATATACAAAGAATGGAAGCTAAAGAGTTGGTGTTAAAAAAGAAAGATGACTTAGTAAATAGCTTACTAAAAGAACATCTTATAAATAAAAATAAAAGAATATCTATAATAAAAAATATTTTCACTTTTACATGGTAATCCATAATTAATAATCACAGGTTGAACTTTTATTAAAACATCTATTTTCTTTGTTAAGTATAGATAGATGTTTTATTTAACCTATACTCTGGAAGTAATATTTTCTTTTTTTTTTTTGAGACAGAGTCTCAAGCTATTGCCCTGGGTAGAGTGCCATGGCATCACAGATCATAGTAACCTCCAACTCCTGGGCTCAAGCGACTCACCTACCTCCACCTCCTAAGTAGCTACTTATAGGTGTCTGCCACAACACCCGGCTATTTTTTGGTTGCAGCCGTCATTGTTGTTTGGCGGGCCCAGGCTGGATTTGAACCCACCAGCTCAGGTGTATGTGGCTGGTGCCTTAGCCGCTTGAGCCACAGGCACCGAGCCTGGACAAAATTAAGGTAGCCTAAACTATTTTAGCATGTAAAGTCACAGGGAACACACTCCCTAATGCTGATCTTCATTGCCATACACTCTAAAAAGACTATCTCTTTGACTAAAACCAAACCAAAAGACTAGAAATTAAGTACAAATGAACTAAGTGAGGCTAAGTAATTTAAACATAGTATTTCAGTTATATTTTGGACTATGGTTTTATCACTATATTACAGAAAAGTCTTTATATTAACTGCATTTTAAAATGGGTACAGTACGTTATACTATATTAATAACAATTAAAGGGTTTTTTATAAAATAGTAATGTTGGCAAATTCTATCTTACTCATGCTACATCTCAGGTTTGAATTATAATGTGATTAATTACCTATACGCTACCTTTAATATAAAGCTAAAAATATTATCTCAAATCTTAGTGAATGTCATTTAAAACATCCGATTAACTGACCTAAGCATTTTAGTATTTTTGTTAATAGCCAGTTACTTCCCCTTTCCAACAATTCACATTTATTCTAGATAAAGATTTCAAAATGACAAACATTTTCTATTTACTCTTAAGCAGTATTCTATAGACCCAAAGCAGACCAAGACTGCGGGGAAAACATTGAGAAATGAAAGAAATCTCTTGCCACCCTTAAAATTACTGAACTACACTCAAAAGACAATTCTAAGTTCAGAAAAGGGGGAGTAAAAAAAGAGGCAATACAAAAACCTCTTAAATGTAGAAGAAATTAGACTAGTTTAGTTTTCTTTAATATCTTCTTTAATAAGACATTACAGCACACAACTGAGCCCCCTGTGTGTCAGTTAAACATGGGGATATATATCCATACGAAGAGAATGGAACAAGTTGAATCTTAACCCCATTCCTTTGGCAACTAATGGAATACAGAATACAAATGGACCAATTCTTTCTCAGTCTATTTTATCAAGTCTTTGAAGACACCATAACAGTTTTATAATGAACTTTTGCTATGACCTGTTAAAGAATCTTCAAATTAAATAACAAGGATGTTTTTAAGACTTGACTTGTAATTTTCTCCTGATAGATTTAACTCAACCACAATAAAAAGGGGATTGTAATAACCCCCACATCTTATGTAAGATCAATGCAGCTATTTATCCATCACTGAGATACTGAGTTAAAAATATGGCGTCATCAGCTGCTTATTAAAAAAAAAATTAAACCAAAACTTGTGAATGATTTAAGTGATTTGTTACTAAACATAAACATACATATGCTCAACGCACATTAAAAATGTTTAAGTTGTAATTTAACCAGAACTTCTTTAATACCCACAGAAATTAGGTACAAGTCTAACGTTCTGGTAACTAACATATTAGGAAATGGTGTGAATCTGAAACTTAAATACATGAGACAAAAGAACTGTATTTTAAAGTAAGGGGGTAAGAATGAGAGTTGCTAAGAAACTATCAGCACTGAAGTTTTTCCTTGGAAATACTTGAAACTTATAGTGAAGACAAATAAGGTGGGAAGAATATGCAAAGCTACAAAACAAATGTAGTGATGAATTACAGCAGAAAGAGAGAATGTATTTTATAATCCACAGGATCAGATATGCAGTTCTAGGCAGTTACCAGTAAATATTTTAGAGTTCTTCCTATTACGTTAATTTTAAAATTTAAAATGAGGTGTAACAGTTTCATTCACACAAGAATTGACAAAAGAAAATTAGAAGAACCATAAAATTAGTCTTCCTTAATTGGGTAGGATTTACCTTATTCATTTAAACAAACCCACTTCCTCTCGTCCTTAGATACAAATAATGTGAATATTGGCCTATCTTAAATACTCTCTAGTTCATACTTAAGCCATATCATATAAGTCTTTAATTTTAGGAACAAACACAACGTAAAATCCTAAATTTAACATTTCACTTAGATAAGAAAGGAGAGGGTGTTGGGAATTAACCCAGACACAGATCATTCTGATCTTCTTATTAATGCAAAATTCATTTATAAAATTGCCCAAGTGGCTAATAACTTTCAAAAAACTTCTTCAAAAATTATGTTTTCATTTCAAATTAAAGAACTTGAAGAATTTTCAAAGAGTCCAGTATAGATCTTTATCAGTTCACATTTGTTCCATCTTATTTTGTTTTAAACAATGGACTTAACCATCATTTCATATGGCATATACTCCAGAACCTAATCTTTCAGAAGGGCTCCCTGACAATCCAACTGCTTTTAGGAATTTATCAGTTATTAAGGGACACCTGGTTGGAAGCTAGAGCCAGGTCATATACTAAGTTTAAATATTCCAACAGCAAATACAGGAAATGATCAGAGGGGAGCAATGACAAGCAACTGCAATATTCTAAGGCAGCAGATAAGTCACTCTTCACCTAGATCAACAGCTGCCAATAAATTTGTGTGCACAATTTTAATGAATGAGTCTGCTCTAGTTTAACTAACGAACCTGCCATTTAGCTGAGAAAGGGAGGTAAGAATTGCATTTGCAATTCTAGCTGATAAATTCATTAGATTTTTATAAGGCAAATAAAGTAGGAAGTTAGAACAGAACTTGTAGAACCATTTATCCTGTGATGTTGTAAAATCAAAGTACTACTTTATTAAATGAGTTATTTTACACAATATGAACATCAATATAATTACAATTGTAAAAAAATTTTTTATAACAAGGATGGACTGATTTTCAGATTTTCAAATCAGAGTCAACTGTACATTTACACAGAATTGTCTTTGCATGAAGCCCAAAAGGTAACAGCATAAAAATGAGTGTTTCTGTAGCCCCTTTATTTTTGCTGATCAACAGTTTGTTAGAAAAGCAGCTGCAGGTTTGTTACCTAAGGTCTGAGACAGTAGAAGAGTCAAAGGTGTCATGAATTCACCTACAAAGATAAGCAAAATTTTTAATGAGTAAGCTGAAATCACAACTTACATGCATTTTAAAGGTCTAAGACTATTAAGGTAATCTCTGATAGGATTTATTGACTGGATTTTATGAATAGATCTTTGATGAATTTACTCTAAAAACAGATAATTTTCATTTTCTTTTTTTTTTTTTAGACAGTCTTATTTTGTCACCCTCAGTCGAGTGCCATGGTGTCATAGATCACAGCAATCTCTAATTCTTGGGCTCAATTGATTTTCTTGCCTCAGCCTCCTGAGTAGCTAGGACTATAGCCACAAAGCATAGCTATTTTTAAGGATGGGGTCTTGCTCTTGCTCAGCCTGGTTCTCGAACTCCTAAGCTTAAGCAATCCACCCACCTTGGTTTCCCAGAGTGCTAGGATAACAGATGTGAGCCACCGCACCCAGCCAAACAAATAATTTTCAAACGCACACATACACCCCAACCACCTATCCCACAATTTAGAGAAAAAAACCCCAAAGTGTAAACTGATGATTTTCAAGCAACTATCAAGTTTATACAGTGCATGACTACACTTTGCCCTATATTTTACAGTGCTCTGCTAAGCACTGTAAAATTTAACTGTAAAAAGATGCTCAGGAACATATGGTCTGCATCATTTCAACGAGGAAGATCCTCAAATTATCTTTATAATCACTATTTTCTTTAAGCTGATATGTCTCTTCAATTCCTGTACTGAAGTTGGCCACCATCTACTCATCTTGTCAGTTTTGGTTATAGTAGTAAAAACTTGGGTGTTTCAAAGGCACTGAAAGCAAATGGTCTGGGAAAAAGAACTTTTAACAATTGTAAAGTACTCTAGTAAATCATAAGTAACAATAGTAAAGTTCTAGTGGTGAAATTAAGTTAAACATTAACTTTAAAAGGGGGAAGCAATAAAATCTCACAAGGCAGAAATAACTCTCACAATTACAGAAGGTAGTTTTGGTCCTGTATACAACACTGACATTAACAAACCAACATATAAAAAGAAGTCCATTACCTGTAAACAACTTTATGCCTGAACATCAGCCAATTCTGGAGGAAGTGGAGTCTTAGGATGCTTGCTCTCAAAGTGCTGCTTGAAGGTCTTAGGGTCTGGCATTTGTGTCTAATAAAAAAAAAATTGTGCAAGGAAGAATTAGACTTTATGAAATAAAAATGTGCTACCTTTTAAAATCCTGAACTTGTTTGTGATAGTTATCACAAAACCACAATTTACTGGTTGGTATAGGAAGAGGGACTCCGTGGCAAAGAAATTCCTAACATTCTCACATTTCACATATAAAGAAGGGATAAATCACAAGGAATGTATTTTGTTCATCTGATTAACAGCAAACAATAGGCAGCATTTACTGAACGCTTATTATACTAAACTTGTTACCTTAATTCTCACAGAACCTCCTAAGCCATCTTGAACCCCTTCTATCATCTTCATTTTACATGATAAGGAAACTAAAACCTACAGTTTAATTTGCCCAACCAACTCCTAGCAACTTTGTACTTCAGCTCTCAAATACTGTACTATTCTGACCTTCCTTGGCAAGGACCTTCAATTATTCTTTTTCAACACATTCAACTTCACAAAACATGAAAAAGATGTTTTCAGTTTTGAGTTTTTATTTATTTTTTTATTGAGATACAGTCTTATTCTGTCATCCTCAGTAGAGCACTATGGTGTCATAGCTCATAGCAACCTCAAACTCTGGGGCTCAAGCGATCCTCCTGCCTCAGTTTTTCTAATTTTAGTAGAGTCAGGGTCTTGTTTTTGCTTAGGCTAGTCTCAAATCCATGAACTCAAGCAATCCACCCACCTTGGCCTCCCAAAGTGCTAGTATTACAGGCGTGAGCCACCGTGCCCAGCCTTGAGTTTTTAAATATGTAAACTACCCTAGTATTTTTAGGTCAAAGATTTCTCCACCACTAATCTAGGAAAATTTTATTTTTGCTCTGCCTCTTTCCAAACAGAATGAGAAACTACTCCTTTTCATTATTTTGACTGTATCAAAGCTTACTCTAATAAATAAGACATTCAACATAATAGATTCTCTCCCTTTTAGATTAGCAAGAACTGTCATACAGTTAGGAACTTCTACTTCATTGATAATGAGTTCGAAAGATGACAAACATCGGTCTAGGATTCATGTCTTACCAAGATTCTTCCCATTCGTATCATCAATCCTAAGATAGAGGACCTTAAAAATGATACATATAAGCTTGACACCTACAGCTTAAGTGGCTAAGGTGCCAGCCACATACACCAGAGCTGGTGGGTTCGAATCCAGCCTGGGCCTGCCAAACAACAATGACAACTACAACCAAAAAATGGCTGGGTGTTGTGGCAGGTGCCTGTAGTCTCAACTACTTGTGAGGCTGAGGCAAAAGAATTGCTTGAGCCCAGGAG